TTACACACAAAAAATATAAAGTGATATGAGAGGGAGGATGGGTACTAGCATCTAGTAGGTGAGGTGGAGGTAGGAAGAGATCAAGAAAGATCTTGAATTAGAACTATCACTCAAGCTAAGCTTTGAAGGAAACTAGGGCAGCTAGGTGGCACAGTGGATAGAGCACCAGACCTGGAGTCAGGAAGATCTGAGTTGAAATCCAGCTCAGGAACTTGCTAGCTGTGTGACCCTGGGCACTTCACCCTGTCTCAGTTTCCTCATCTATATAATGAGCTGGAGAATGAAATAGCAAACCACTCCAGAATTTCTGCCAAGACAACCCCCAGTACGGGGTCATGAAAAGTTGGACGTGACTGAAAATTATAACAAGGGTTTCCGAACAGTAATATGGGATTCTAAAAGGCAGAGATGGGGTGAGAGTACATTCCTGGCATGAGGCAAAGGCATGGAGATGAGAGTTGAATGTTTTATGTAAGAAACAGCAAGTAGTTCATTTTGGTGGGATCAGAGGATAGGTGAAAGGGAATAATATGTAATAAGGCTTAAATAGCAGATTAGAGTCAAGTTCTGATGGACTTTACCTAAAAAAAAAAAGTATCCAGGGAATGAGGTACCCAGAAAGAACTGAAACTATGATCACTACTATTTTGTCACCTAAAATAGAGTTTCAGTGTGCAGCCACTCTGTTTGAAGGATCTATCCTTCAGTGAGAGCTTTCAACAAAGGTGGTAGCTGACATGTGGGAAAAGTAGACTTGACAGTTCTTGGTAACTGATTGGATATATCTGGCAAAGGGAGTGAGGGGCTGAGGGTGACTCCAAGAAGGTCAACTGAAGGGATTAAATGTGGTGGTAGCCTCGACAAGAATAGGCTATTGGAAATAAGGCAATACCACTCTGAGTCAAACAAACCTACGCGTCAAACATCTGGTCTGACGTCCTGCCTCTAAAGGTGACATTGAGGGGTCTGTGAAGGACCTCTAAGCAGCCTAATTTCCTTTGTAATGCTATCTTGGAACTTTGAGCCACTCCTTTATCTCAGCATTCTTAATTCTCTTCCTACCATGGCACTAGGTATCTAGAAGTACAGCTGTAGTTAACAATGCTGCTTTTCCAGGGCAAACACTATGAAAGCTTCAAGAGACAAAGTTCTGGAGTCGGGATGGGGGAAGGTTTGGGAAAGGGCTAGTGACTCTGAGACACTAAAATGTCCCTGCTGAGGAGGTTATCTGAAGGGGAGGGTGCAGGACAGGGCTGGATCTCCATCTGGCGTATGGCCATAGGAAGTGGGGAAGAAATCATACAATCTGATAACTTCATATTTAAACTTATTATTCTGGCTGATTTGATACTAAGCTGAGTTCAGCTATCTGAAGTTCCAGTTCCTTGGGCCAAAGCACTAACTTCCCCCCCTTAGTTATAACTCTGGTTAGAGTAGGAAGGAGAACACAGAGAAACAACGGAACTAATGATCACTGCTACTTTGTAACCTAAAACAGAGTTCCAGTGCTCATGCTACTACCTTTTGATCTGATAGATGCATCAAATCAATTATTACAGCATTCAGATTGGCATCCTAAGACCTGGTCTGCTCACTGTGGGACTATGGGATTGTAGCTAAGTCAGTCCTTCGGTTTCCCGATATATAGAATGAGGATCAAGTTTGTGCTCCCTCCTTTATAGACTTTGCATGAGCAAAGTGCTCATAAATGGGTGGCAATAGGATATTAAACCTGGAGAGTGAAGGAACCTCATCAGCCTTCTATGACCACACCCTCATTTTACAACTGGGAAAACTGAGCTCCTGGGAAGTATAGTGATTTGCCCAAAGTGGCTCAAGGTGGGAGATTTGACTCCCTGCCCTCTGACTTCAGACATAGTGCTTTTCCCACTGTACCAGTCTACCTTATAACTATCATTTACTCCAGAAACATGAGCCAGGATTTTCAGTATCCTTATGAGAAGCAGTGGATACTGGGCTGACCTCTGAACCTAGAAGATCTGAATTTGAATCCTACTGGCTCTGTGACTCTGGGCAAGTTACTTAACCCCTCAGTGCCCTAGGCAACTTTCTGAAATTGTAAGCTTCAGACAAGGTAATGATTAGCATCTGTAGAGAGCATTTCCTCGTTTGGGAGTTCTTCATACTAACGAAATCACAGGGCCAGCCTGTATTCCCATTATCCTTACATTCAATGGACCAAGCACCATAGTTTGAAGAGTTAACTCTGAAATATACTTTAGTCTTCAAACACTACTAGGATAAAGTCAAGGGCATTGTATTTTTAAGCTCCCTTGAAGGGGATTTAGAAGGCTCATGAAGAGTAGGCTGAATGACATAAATTTATTCTTGAAATAAAAACTAGGCATAATTATGGAGAGTGGAAACTGGCTCCTAAGAAAGGCAGAATTCCCCAAGTGACTAGAATCCCTGCCTGAGTGTCTTAGGCCACTACTAATATTAGCATCTAATATGTATGATCCATATCTATTTTTATCTAGCCTCACCAGCCAGAAGTTGGGGAGTAATTACATTCTCTGTATTAATATCTTTGGGCAGAGTAAATCATCTGTCTTGGGTCTTCAGAAACCCAAGTGAAAAAAAAGAGGGCATGTATTTGTAACATTAATGCTATGATAGATTACTAACAAAATACCCTTTGTAATGTATGAACCAACATGCCAAGACAGAAGTGACTGCTGTGAAAGCTTCCAGATTCCAAATGGCTCCATGCTTTCCTATTCTTAACCAGCTTCTTCAAAGTCATAAAGAAAATGATGACAAATCTTTTTTTTAAATCACATAACTTTAAAAACTGTTCTTCCACCCACAATCCCCCTCCCCCCAATCCCTTTCCCCTTCCCTTCTTTACTATGCCACATTCAATTCTCCCTCTGCTCCTTTGAGATTTCTTCAGAAAACTATTAGAGTTCTGCCTGGAGGAGCAGGCTTATCTAGGGTGAATTTAGCCTTGCTCCACTAAGAGCAGGCCTAGTATTCAATGACCCTCAAAAAAGGATCTTTGTTATACTTCTCCCTCTGGTCAATCTTCCAGCTTCCTCCTTCCCCTTCTTTTTCCCAAAAAAGATAACAGGCTATGATCTAGATTTCAATCTAAAAGGGACCAGAGAAGCCATCTCATTTTACATATGTGGAAACTGAGGCTCAGAGAGAGGTTAGATGCCTAACTGGTAGGCAGCTTGCAGCTTGTAATTGTATGAGATGCTATTTGATTGTCTTTCTGAGTTCAATCTGGTCTTAGATATTTACTAGTTCAGGCACTAATTAACTCTTTGAGAAGTTAAAGTGATGATTATAGGGACCAGACCTGAGATTTCATTGGTATAGGGAAATACAAATACAACAGAACATAGATAATGTTAATGTGTGGTTTTCTAAGGCAATATAGAGTCTACAGGGATCCTTAAGTATGTATGGATCAATGGCCTCCTGTTTCTATTTAACTTTGACACCTCCACCCCAGAGCACTGAGGGTAAGTGACTTTCCCTTGCCCAGGATCACTCACCCAAAATGGGCCAGAGGAAAGATTTCAATTCAAGTCAACCTGACTCTGAGGACACCCAGGATACGTGGAAGAGAATAACTTTATAAGGTTCCCTTTCATATCTAAAATAAGTCGCAGCTGAACGTCTGCTTGAACCAAGCAGCAGTCTTTACAATTCAAATTTATATCCAATTGGGTCCGCTAGGTGGTGCAGTAAATAGAGCACCAGTCCTGGAGTCAGGAGGACCTGAGTTCAAATGTGACCTCAGACACATAACACTTACCAGCTGTGTGATTCTGGGCAAGTCACTTAACCCCAATGGCCTCCCCCCCCTGCCAAAAAAAAGGGAAAAAATTTATATCCAATAAGCAATTATTAATCACTTACTATGTGCAAGGCTGCATGCATACACACACTCAGGTCTTCTTGTCTCCAGGTCCTATGCCATCTAGAATAACAACAACAACAATAATAAATTATTATTAAAGTCATTCATAACCATTAATAATAACTAGCACATACATATACATATATATATATTTCCTACTATGTGCTAGACACTGTACATTATTACTTCATTTGATCCTCACGACAATCTCAGGAAGGTAGGTACTTTATTATTTTATAGTTGAGGAAACTGAGGCAATCAGAGGTTAAGTGACTTTCCGAGGGTCTAGTTAAAATATCTGAACTGGTATTTATATCTGTTTATGTATATGTATATTGTAAATGTATTTGCATGTATGTATATGTGTTATGTGTGTATATATGTAGGCATGTGTGTATTACATTGCAAGCATTGTATGTGAATACAATGTGTGTATATACCACACATATATATTCTATGCAATATAAACACATAGGTGATATGTGTGTGTTTTTGTATGGGCAACTAGATGGCTCTGTGGATAGAGCATAGGACCCGGAATTAGGAAGACCTGAGTTCAAATGTGACCTCAGATTCTTCCTAGCTGTGTGTTTCTGGGCAAATCACTTCACCCTGTTTGCCTCAGTTTCCTTATCTGTAAAATGAGCTGGAGAAGGAAATGGCAAAGCACTCCAGTATCTTTACCAAGATAACTCCCACCAGGGTCACAAAGAGTTAGACATGACTGAACACGACAACATCATGTATATACACACATATATACATCCATGTACATATACGTACATACATACACAGACGTATTTGATAACGATATAGGGGAATGGTTTTGAGAACCTGGAGGCAGAGAGACCAATCAGGAGCAATTTCAATGGTCCTGGCAAGAGGTAATCAGGGACTAAATCTGGGTGGTGCCTCTGGCAATAGAAAACAAAGAATATATAGAAAAGGGGTCATAAATTTAAAGCTGGAAAGGACTTCAGATACCATCTGGTCCCACCTCATTTTACAGATAAAGGACCTAAGACCCGTGGACTTTAGATTTAAAGCAGGAAAGAGCAAAGAAGTCCCTACTTGTTTTTTATTTGTTTTTGTGTTTGTTTTTTAATAGAGGAAGAAGCCAGAACCCAAGAGAGGAAGGTGATCTGCCCACGGTCACAAAGGTATTTAGCAGCAGAACCAGGATTTGAACCTTCCCTCTCAAAGATGCCTCAAGTCTAGGTTATAATATTTTCGGCATATATTTAGTTATGTGCATGTCTCTCCCCTGGCAGAATGGAAGCTCTTTGAGGGCAGGGACTCTTTCATTTTTATCTTTGTATCTCTAGAGCCTAGCGCAGTGCCTGGCATTTAATAAACACGTGTTGATTGAATGACTGAAATCATATCCTCTGACTCCCAAGTTAGCATAATTTCCAGTGTAGCACCCGATCTTCCCACAGATGCCACAGCTGTTGCTGGAGAACATTGCAGATCTCACTCGATATATATACAGGGTGACCCAAAAATCTTACCACAAGACTTCACTAATATTTTTGGGACACCCTGTATATCCAAATTTATTGGATCTCATAGAAGTGAAATTTTATTAACGCCATATGTTGCTATTAACAAATGCATTCGAATGGAGGAAATACACCCACCCCACGTTGGACATGGGAAAAGTGTTATTTTAGGCTTTTGTCTCATTCCCTTAAACCAGACCAAAGGCCCCTTTTGTCAAGATGCCAGCGTTCAACTAGAGTTACTGAATATAAAATGACCTCAGGGAGAGAGTTGAGGGTGTGGGAGGGAAGAAGAATATGTTTTCCTAATTAAGGATGTTTTCTTGAGATAAAACTGGATCTCCAGCTAGTTTTCCAAATTTTCTGTGGTTTTGAAGTCAAGGAGGTGAAATAAGCATCATTGTCTCACAAGGGATGAGAAATGGGAGACAAATATCCCTTTCTTCTATCTGCCAGTGGACTCATGATCTCACCAGGGTGAGAATCCCTTCTTTCCAGCAGTGCCCATCACACCCTATCTTTACCTTTTGATCCTTTGTAATCCTTGCCTATGTTCTCTCACAAATTCTCCCTAATGGATCTGCCCAATGCACAGGATGTCTTTCTGTCTTTTAGCGTTTCATGGATGTCAGAGTGTCACCATTTATCCCTCCCTCTTGACTAATAATGAGCCCACCCCCTTTTCCAATTGCAAAACCCCTTGGTGATATCTCTCATGCTACTTCCTGCATGCAAATCAGAATCATGCCTCAGGTCTATTTACATTGACTCTGAAACTCGCCATTATCCTTTTGCTTATCTGCCATTTTGATTCTTCAGAGATCATACTGTTCCATTACATAAGGCCATAAATCTTGGTGGAGAGAACACTGAGGCTTTACAAAATGGAATTCTGCATCAAAGATTACTTTGGGAGCATGATAAACAATGGAAAGTGTACTCAATGGCTTAGCAGTCAGAGGGCCTGGGTTCAAATCCCACTTTTGATGCTTTCTACATTTGTGACCTTGGGCAAGTTACATGACCTGCCTGGGTCTCAGTTTCCTTCTCTGTAAGATGGAGTTGGACTAGGTGGTTTATAAGTCTCTACCAGCTCTAGATCTATGATACTATTCATTATATATACACACATATACATACGCACACACACACCATATATAGTACTAGCATACATAATATCTCTGATACTATCAAAGCATTGTATAATTTCTTAAAAGCAATGCAATCCACTCTCCTCTTCTGGATTCTGCTTATTCAACCAAGATACCTATTTAAGATTTGTGTACTGATATACAAACTCAATGAGCCACAATTTAAATAGTTAAAATCACATAGATAGCCAGAACTACTCCATTCCTTCAACCCACTCACACCATTCCCCTACTCCCACTCAATGCCTATCAAAATTTCCAATAACACTGTGAGTGAGGAAGAAATATTCTGTTTCCCAGCATACACATTCTTCAGAAAGAGATTCCAGAGTGATAATACTTCATTGTCACCCTTCTCCCTGCCCATTGCACTCCATCCTTAACAATATGTCTCCTTTTATAGCCTGTATTCCAAACTGGGGGCTTAGAGAGATCTCCTCCTACCTAAGAAACAGCCTTTCCAACTTACATGAACCAATGCTGAGTGAAGTGAACAGAACCAGGAGAACATTGTACATGGTAACAGCAACATTGTGCGATGCCCAACTTTGATACACTTAGCTCTCCTCAGTAATGCAATGATCTAAGACAATTCCAAAAGACTCGTGATGAAAAATGCTATCCACATCAAGGGAAAGAACTACGAAGTCTGGATGCAGATCAAAGCATACTTTTTTCTTTTTTTTTCTTTCTCATGGTTTTTCCCTTTTGTTCTGATTCCTTTTTTACAACATGACTAATGTGGAAATATGTTTAATATGTTTAATATGATTGTACATGTATAGCCTATATCAGATTGCATGCTGTCTTCAGAAGGGGGGAGTGAAGGGAGAGGGTAAATTTAGAACTCAAAATCTTATAAAAGCAAAGGTTGAAAAGTAAAAATAAACAAAATTTTTTAAAGAGCCCTTCCTCTAGGATTCCTATGGGGAAGCAGGAGAGAAGGTCTCACCTCCTCTTATCCCCACACTCAATATTCCTATACTACCTTTTAGTTTCATAAAGAGAAGCTATGTGGTATTATGAAAAGTGCACTGGTCTTAGAGGTAGAAGACCTGGATTCAGATCTGAACCCGGCCATTTCATTAACTATGAGATCATAAGTAGTTCACTTTAACTCTCTTTGCCTATTTTTTTTCACCTGTAAAAGAAGAGGGTTAGACTAGATGACCTCATTGGTCCCTTCTAATCTTATGTAATTCTATTCTAAATGCCTCACTCTGGGAGACATATCGCCTTAGAAACTTACTAGCTATGTGACCCTGGGCAAGTCACAGTCTGTGCTTCAATTATCCCATCCCTGTGAAATAAGAATAGATTTAATGACTTCTAAGATCCCTTTGAGCTCTAAAACTTTGATTCTATGACTGTGTCAAAGTTTAAATGGCCCTTAGACATCCTCTAATCCAACTCTATATTTTTTCCTCCCACAGATAAGGACTCTGTAGAGCAGAAAAGGTAAGTAGTTTATCCAAGGTCATACAATTAGCTTACGGCAAAGCCAGGACTAAGAATTTTTTTTAAGTAAATGCGAAATAGGTATTCAGCACCACACCTTAGCTCAAAATTAATGCTATTAAACTGAAATGGAGCCAAGTATGACTTTCAAGTCAGAATGAAATAGATTCAAGTCTCCCTATCCCCCCACCCTTCCAACCCCAGGTATACTGACTGTGTGACCCTGGGTACATAACTTAATCCATCAGTGCCCTAAACACTTTTAATTGCAAATCAAGTGCTGGTCTATATTAATGCCTGCCTCAGTTTCCTCATCTGTAAAATGGGGGTAATAATAGCACCTACCTCCCAGGGTTGTTGGGAGGATCAAATCAGATCATAACTGTAAAGTACTTTGCACAATACCTGGCACATGCTAGGTACTTAATTAATGCTTGTTTTTAAAAAAATGAATGATTAAATGAATGGTGGTACATGAATACAATGGATAATCACTGTCCTATAAGAAGCAGAGAATAAGAAGGTTTCAGGAGGCATTAGATGACTTCTAAGAATTGATGCAAAGTGAAGCATGCAGAAGGAGAAAAGCAATATAAACAATGACAACAGCAATATAAATGGACAAAAAAACAATGTTGACAATAAAAATAGAAATAATGCTTTGTAATTATAGTTCCTGAGCTCGGCCCCAAATATAAGGTATAATGATGTACCTCCCTCCCACTCTTTCAAGAACAGAAGGAGGACAGGTACAGAATGCTGTCTATGCGATCAAGTGTGTTGGTGTGGTGGTGAGATTTATTGGACTGGGTGTTTTTAGGTTTTGGTGTAAGGGATGACTCTAATGGTGGGGGAAGAAAGGAATATATTGGGGAATATATGCCGGGGACGAGGGACAGCTAGGTGGTGCCAGACCTGGAGATAGGAAGGCTCATGTTTCTGAATTCAAATCTGGCCTCAGGCATTTGCTAGCTGTCTGGGTAAGTCACTTAATCCTGTCTGGCTCAGTTTATTTATCTGTAAAATGAGCCACTCCAGTATCTTTGCTAAGAAAACTCCAAATGGGGCCCCAAAGAGTTGGGCATGACTGAACAACAAGTAGAACAAAATACATAAGTGTATTGTATACATATGTAGATGGCTACATAGATGTAAAAACAAGTATCCTTTTAATAAAAAGAAAAAATAAAATTCTGAAACAGCAAGTGAGAAATCCCTTTTTGAAGTTCCCTTCCTGCTTGAGGTATATATTTAAAATCCCAGCTTCTTCAAGGAAATCTTTCCCAATCCCTCTTAATTCTACTGCTTTCCCTCTATTGATTATATAGCATGTGGGTACATGGTCATCTCCCCCATTAGACTGTAAGCTCCTTGAGGGCAGCGACTGTCTTTTGCCTTTTTTTATATCCCCAGTGCTGAATGCAATGCCTGACACATAGTAGATACTTTTAAAATGCTTATGGACTGACCCATACTTCTTTACAGCCCTTATAGGAGATTTGGGGTTTGCTAAGGACACACTTTGTCTTCTTAACCCATCTTGGCTTAACTTCGCCTGAACTTGTCCTTGTGCCCATGTTTCATCAGGGAAATGAGCAACACGAGCCATAGATTCATTTTCTAAGTTTCCATCAAGATGATCAGTGGAGAACAGGCCAGAGGGGCTGTACCTTCATTTTGGCTTTGACATTTGGAATGCCCACTACAGTTGACCTTAAGTCAATTCTCCATTTGCCAAAGTTACAAACACAACTTGACCCCCAGCAATATACCCACCCAATCCCACCAGGATGCCTGTCCTTGGGAATGCTCTGGGTTATGGGATGATTGTATATGGTCCTCCAACTTTTTCTTCTTCTCATGGGTCATTTGGATGAATTATTTCTGCTCAGTGAGCCAGTAATTGTGTGTTGCATTCAAGTGGTGAGGTTGTTATGCAGATGTGGAATCCAGTTCCCTCTAATGTCTCCAACCCTTCTCATACATGTTTTCCATTTAATAAATTCCAAATTCTATTTTTTGCTGAGCACTTTGTTTTTTAAGCCCCATGTGATTTTTGAGGGAAGTTCAATGGGGGCCTTTCTGTTTTCCATGTATTCTTTTCCTAAAAGTAGTGTTATGGAGGAGACTTGAAAGGCTTCCTGGGGTATTTTTATTTAGATTTGCTTTGAACACACACACACACACACACACACACACACACACACACACACACACAAACTGACCAGAAGACCCCTAGATTTGTCTGTAGTCTCAGAATTGGGAAAAAAAAAAGAAGTTATTCCAAGTGGCTTTAATGTCTTCCTAAACACTTAAAAGCATTTTAAGTCTTAAGTAGGGATAGGTATGAAAAAGTCCCAGGAACTCTATAGAGAATTGGGCCACATTTTTGGATTCAGAGGTTCGAATCCAGGTTTGGTCCGTTACTACCTATGTGACCTTGGGCAAATCACTTAACTAACCTCTCTAGGCATCCATTTTCTCATCTGTAAAATGGGTAGCTGGCAAATAGCCTGTAAAGTCCCTTACAGCTCTAAGTCTGGGATCTTATGACCTTCTTCTGGCTCTAAATTATAATGGCTCAAGAAGTCTTAGGTTCAAATTTTGTTTTTGAATATGTGTGTGACCATGAGCAAAACCACTTCATTGCTCTGAGAGCTCAGTTCCTTCTCATTTGCAAAATGGAAATGATAATAACTATAGGGCTTCCCTTACAGGGTCATTGTGAGGCTTGAATGAGAAAATGCATAGACAATACTTTGAAAATGCAGTTTCCATTGTTGTTAATGTTAATTAAAAACAAATTAAAAGCAATTAATATTAATAACATATTAGAAACATAATTAATATTAATAGCAAAGAGAATCCAAGTGTTTTCATACCAAGTCTACTACCCTGTCCTCTACACCCACATCCTACGCTTAGTAGGCTTAGCCTAACTAGAAAGAATAAAGAATGTAGAGTTAAAGAATCTGGGTTCTATTTATTTCTAGGTCTTCAGTGTACTAGCTGAGTGACCTTGGATAGGTTATTTAATGTCCCCAGGCTTCTCTTTCCTCATCTATGAGGATGGGGGACTGATGTTGTTTCTTCTTTATCCTTTGGTCTCGAAGAGGATCATGACATCAGGGAGGTGATGCCATGACATGCAAGTGAATTGCATTTAAGTGAGGGAGGGCTGTGCAAAATCACCACCCTCGCTTTCTCCCCCAGAGCCATCTGGGTCCAGTGGCAAGATGTGGATCAGGGTGACCGGAGATGGCCCCTGTGTGAAGGGAAGGCTAGGGGAGAAGGATGCCCCTTCTAAACACCAGAACCCATGAGTTGGAAACTCATCAGAGGATAACTAGATATAACAATCACAATGATGGTCACTAAAATTTCTATAGTACGTTAATTATTATAAACTCTTTCCTTGCTGTGACCTATCAGAATCAAGTAGAGGCATGATTATCGGTATTTTACAAATGAGGCAACTGAAGTTCAGAGATACCCAAGGATTTGCCCATAGTGACATAGATATCAAACCAGGGTTAACATTTATTATTGTTTAATCATTTCAGTTGTGTCTGATTCTTTGTGACCTCTTTGGGATTTTCTTGGCAGAGATGCTGGGGTGATTTGACATTTCCTTCTCCAGCTCATTTTACAGATGAGTAAACTGAGGCAAACAGGGTTAAGTGACTTGCTCAGGGTCACATAGGTAGTGTCTGAGTGTGAATTTGAACTCATCTTCCTGACTCCAGACCCAGTGCTCTATCCATTGAGCCATCTAGCCACTCTTACCTTCTACCCCTCTACCATGTACACAGGAAGTAATCTCAAAGGGAAGACACCAGCAGTGTGGGTATGGGTGATTGGGAAAGACCCTTTGGCAGATGATAGAACTGGAGGTAGACTTGGAGCATGTACGTAGTTGCTTGCGTGCTCTGTTCCCCATCATGTGAGCTCCTTGACAACAGGGGCTGTCTTTTGCTTTTCATTGTGTCCCTGATGCTTCCACACAGTGCCTGGCATGTTCTAAGCACTTAATAAATGCTTGCTGACCAACTCACTGGCTGTAGCACCTTGCTCCCCTGTCACTGATATAGGACGGGGAAAGGACCAAGGGATGGCTCCAGGTTCACCCTATCTAGGAGTGTTCTGGAGTCAACTCTAATTAGCTCAGGAAAATGACTTCAATTTTCAGCATGAGCTTTTACACCTTGGAAATCAGCAAAAACTACAAATCAGAGCTTGACTTATTGTTTTGTTGATTGTCTGGACTTAAAAAAGTGATGGAGAAAATGTTACTAATGTAAATTAAACCTAAAAGTGTGTCCTGCCCATGTTTGGGAGGGGAAAAGCTGGTTTTTAAACATTTGCCAGCATACCCCTGGCCACATCAACAAAACACCAAATCTTCCCAGATCAAGGTCAGCCCGTGGCTGGAAGCAGGTCCCAGGGCTCCCGCATGGCTGAAAGATAAGCTCTTTGTCTACACCAGTGGACAGTCCTTGTTATAACACATTTCAAAATTCCCCTGCTATTTCACTGGGGTGTCCCTGTTGCATATGTCTGCTGCCTGTTGCTTGAAGACTCTTGTAAGACAAAGCAAGGTTTGAGGCTCTTTCATAACATACAAGTTACACAGAGGTTGGTTGTTATGGGTTTTTTCTTCTTGCTTTTCTTCCCCTTTCACCCACCTCAGTTTATTTATTTGTTCATTAATTTATTTATAAATTTCATTTGTTTGTTTGTTTTTACCACATCCCATTTTGCTTTTTTTTATTATTATTATTATTTCCCCACCGTGCTCTAACTAGAACACCTAGATGTGATTGGCACGTTTGGTTCAATGACTAGCCTCATTACAGATTTCCATGAGCCTGTGGACATAATGTGCCACCCCTCCTTGGCTATTTCCACCAAACTGAGACTAATTACCAGCAGTGGTATCTGACAGAACCTTCTAAACAGTCGCTGAGATCCCATGGCTAAGGATGAATGCCATTCACATGGAAAGGGAGCTGAAGCATCAAGGAAGACAGTGAACCCTAAGATATTCCTTAAATAAGAATGCAGTGAATTGTTTACAAAGGGTCTCCTGACTGTGAGCTGTGTTGTGGAGAGGGGCATTCAATTAGCTGGAGCTGCAGTGGGTCCAAAGAGTCACTTCCCAACATGGCTGATGCAAGCACTGTATTAAACCCAGGTCAGCTGGTATTACAAAGGGGTCACTTGCTCCAGGCTCCCTGCTAGGAAGTAGCTGAGTTACTCTATTTTGTGTGTATTTGGGTAGGAAATGCATTTGTTCCACACATTATCCAGCAGCATTCACAGATCAATGCAGCCAAGGGAAACAAATAAACAACAACAGAACATTGAAAAAAAAAAAAGAGAGAAGATGTCGGGTCTCGTTGCCAAATGCCCCATTTTAGATGAAACAATCTCAGCAAATAGGAACCAAAGGCAGGACTTTGTCAGTAACCTTCTAGGTGATAGAGGAAGTCATACAGAGAGAACAAAGGAAAACAAAGAAGAAATGGAAGAAGAAAAAGAGGAGGAAGATGAAGACATCCTCTTAGTTCTTCCCTCCCATGCCAAACATATCATTCAGTCATTCAAAAAGCATTGAGTAAACACCCACTGTATGATTAGTTCATGGTTGGTATCCTTCATTCTCGAAGAGATCGAAATGGCCTCCCTATGCTAGAGTGAAGCTGCAGTGTGTCAAACTGTGGCTAATCAGATCTACACGAGCTCAGAATGCTCTACCTCAGATTGGGCACCAATAATCAACGTGAACATTTGGGGTAGATTCTCTAAATTTGCACATCCAGTGTTTCTTTTGAGCTCATGGAGCACAGCACCTTCTGTGATGAGGGCGGTGCCATACTGGCCACTCTTGTGCCAATGTCTCCCAAGTCACACAACCACAGGTACTGTGCCAAGCACCAGAGTTAAAAACACAAAAATGAAACTCCTGCCTCCAAGGAGGGCATTCTACTGGAGGAGGGCAGGCTGAGCAGCACATGCACAGATATGTTAAAAATGAAAAATAATTCAGAGGTGGGGGAGAATGGACAAGTGGCAGAGCCAGGAAAGGCCCCTGCTAGAAGATGACATGAGCTCAACCTTGGAAGAGTCATGGGCTTCTTACAGGTCAAGGTGAAGAGGGAGAGTTTTCTAGGTCTAAGGGACAGATTATGCAAAAGTTTGGAAGTAGGAGGTAGAATATCTTTCACAGGGAATAAGTTGGACGGTTCAGTTAAATCTAGAGTGTAGGGGTAGTAATGTGGAATAAGCCCAGAATATGAAGGTTGGAGGCAGACTGTGAATGACATTAAATACCAAATAGTATGGTCTCTGTCTTCTTGTATATTGAAAGATGATTGAACAAAGAAGGAAAAGAAGAAAATGGAGGAAGAAGATGTAAGGCAATTGCTGGGTGGCACAGTGGATTGAGTGCTGGGCTTGGAGTCAGGAACGCCTCAGTAGCTGGGTGACCTTGGACAAGTGCCTTGACTTTTGTCTGCCTCAGCTCCCTCATCTGTAAAATAGGGTGTGGGTGATAATATGTAGATAATAATAGTACCCAGGGTGATCAGGAGGATGAATATCAAAAAGTTAAATTACTGATAAATTAATATGACATATGAATATATTGGCATTAATAATTAAGTCATAACTATCAGTAAAAATATTGTTTAATACTTAACATATATAAATATAATCCTTTCCTTTCCCTTCCATCCCTCCCTTCCTTCCCTCCTTCCATCTTCCCTCCCTCCCTCTATCCCAGATATTAGCCAACAGGTAATTTCACAGTCCCTTTTCCGAGTATCATCCTTCTTATTCCAATCAAATTGTACTACATGGTCCATGATGTTGGAGAGACAATGTAGTTCAATGTCAAGAGTACACGAATTAGAGTAAGAAGATCTGGGTTCAAATTCTGATCCTGCCACTAACTTTCTGTGTGACCTTAAAACAAGTTACTTGGCTTCTCTGGGCCTCAGTTTCCTCATCTGAAAAAGAAGGGAGTTGACTAGGTGATCTCTGGGGCCCCTTCCTGCTCTACATCTCTGACCACAGCTTGGATTCTGGTTCTGCTATTTAACTTTGGGCAATTCACTTCACCTATGAGCCTCAGTTTACCCAACTGTAAAATGAGGAGGTTAGACTAAATGATTCTGTGGTTGCTTCCAGCTCTGTATCGCATGATCCTGCAATCTCTTCAAAGTTGTTCAGATTCTATACTGTGGTCAGTGGTGTCAAAATCAGATAGAAATGGATTCCTGAGGGCTGCATGTTGATTAGAAAAACAAATTAACATTATCTATGTTGTATTGTGGACAGGTAGATGACACTGGACTTGAAATTAGGAAAACTCATCTTCCTGAGTTCAAATCCAGCCTCAGACACTTCCTAGCTGTGTGATCCCAGGCAAGTCACTTAACCCTGTTTGCCTCAGTTTCTTCATCTACAGAATGAGCTGGAGAAGGAAATGGGAAATCATTCCAGTATCTTTGACCCAAACAGGGTCATGAAGAGCCAGATACCACTGAAACAACTGAACAACATATTGTATTGTATTTTTACTTATTTTGCTAAACATTTCCCAATTATATTTTAATCTGGCTTGGGGTCCACAGACAAGAATTTGACCCCACTGTCCTAGGAGAAAAAAGTGAACCCATTTATTTATCTATCTGGAAAGAAATCAGTGAATTTATGATAAGCTAGCAGCTAGTTTAAGGAGCCACGAGGTGGAAAATGGCTCACTGAACCAAGGATTAGCATTGCTTTGGGTAGGGCTGGTGCCTTGATGTCCAGCTCCCTCTGCAAAGATTACAAAGACATTAGGCAGCATTCTGCAGCAATTTAGGCCAGATAAGTAAGGAGACGACAGAATACAGCACGACATAACCAAATGGAGAGAAGGGAGATATAATGGTGGTGAGGAACATTTGTCATGCATTGGTAGGATTTGTTATCGTGTGGGAAAGCAATCCCTGTACAAGGGAATTAAAAAAGAGGATATAGATACAACAGTTTAAGAAGTCTATTTGATCCAAGAAAACAGGAGTGAGGTAATCTTTTTTACAGAGTGACTGGCATCTGTAATCTAAGGACACCAAACACACTTTTACAGAAGTGGATGAGGCCATCTGCTAGGCTGTGATCTTGTGTAGTTTATTATATTTCATTTCTCTTTCAACTCCCTCCTCCCTTCCAATATTCCTTTTGGAATATTACCAAATCTGGATTTGTATTTACTGCTGCTGTTCGTTAATTTTTTAACCCCTCCCCTTCCTTTGGTCTTCTGGAAGTTTCCTTAGCAATCAATATTATTAGTTGACGTTTTTAACTCCTTCTTCCACAATACAGCAAGTTCCAGAGAAGTGAAGAAATTTATCCAAGGTCACACAGGGAGTGAGGAGCAAAGCTGGGGTTTATAGAACCACAGATTTAAATCCAGAAGAGGTGTTAGATATCATCCAGTTCCAACCCCTCTATTTCCCAGATGAGGAAACTAAGGCCCGGAAAAATAAAATGAATTGCCCTGGACCACATCTCCCATGGTTGTTGTGAGGATAAATGAGATATTTTTGAAAGCATTTTGCAAACCTTAAGTGCTATATAAGTGCTATCTATTATCATTATCCACTATGCCAGCTTACATCCCACTTGAGGGGCAGGGAGTGGGAAATGTGATATATACATTGGTATATGGAATATAATCAGAGTAAGTACAAAGGGAAGTCAAACAATTCAGAGAGTCAGGAATGTAAGGGGTGGCACTTGAGGAAAGCCTTGAAAAAAGCTAGGGATTCCAGAAGTTGGGGCTGAGGAGGGAGGGCATTCCAGTCCTATACAAAGGCATTGAGTCTGGAGATGAAATATTCATTCTTCCTCTAATGGGAAATTTTGTCTATTACAATACCCAAAGGGCCTGATCCGTAGTATCCATAGTATCTCATAAAGACCTTCAAAGAAGGTGGAAGCAAGTTTTGATCTACTTTTTTAGGGGGAAGGGATGGCAGATTTTCAAAATATTGATGTACAAATCCTACACCCCTTTACCAGGCAAAGCCAGATGGAGAATTTCACCGTCCTTTCTCCACTTGCTAGAGAATAAATGATCACATAGCCACTGAGTAGAGAAATCATATTACTGAAGCAAAAATACTTTGGATTTGGTCAAGGAAAATCTCATTTGCTCAAGCAAAATCACTAGCTTAGACTAAATGACAATGAAGAGGTTGGATTAGATTATCTGTAATATCCTTTCCAGCTTTAAGATTTCATGGTAGAATTAAAAAAAAAAAAACGACTACCTGATTTCATTCAGTGTCTCTGTAATGTTCGCTGTCCTTCAGCATCTTATCTCCAAAGTGTAACTATCAGAGGAAAATTAAGGAAACTCAAATAATGGCAAAAAAAAGGGCTGGAGGCAGGAGAATAATAGCTCATGTTGACTCTGGCACTGAACCACTTAACAACAGCCTCTTAAATGGGAAGGTGGAGTTGAACAGCGGAAAGAGAAATGGATCCATAGTTTGAAGCCCTGGGTTCAAAGCCTGTGTCTGGCACTAGCTGTGTGACCTTGGACAAGTCCCTGCACTTCCCTGGGCCTCAGTTTTCTCATCTATAAAGTGAGAGAATCATAGATCTAGAGCTGGAAGAGAATCTAGATGCCCTCTAAACCCCTCACCCAAAGAGGCTGTATTAGTCTCTGGAGGCCATCCAGCTCTAGAACTATCATCCTTAGGGATGAAAAGGAATGAGTAACAAGACTTTGATGACACTGGAGGAAACTGAGGAACAAGGGATACTGTCATTCAACGAGCACTTACTATGTACTAGGTATTATTGTGGATGCAAGGAAATGTGGTGAGATTTGGGGGTGGGAGAAAGTTGAGACATGCCCAAGGTCACCTAATCAATTCTCCTCTCTCCAAGGTCACCATTCTGCCATATTGATTTCATTGGAAGTAAAGATTGACAAAAACACCTGCCATGAAAACAGAACCACCAGGATTCTAGCAAACTTCTGGACCCACAGAGCTACAGAAATAGCCGCTGACCTGAGAGCTGGGAGTGGTTACCCCTCCTCCCCATCCCCAAAGTCAGCTGTGTCTTTGCTCACTGCTCTGAGAAGGAACAGCTGTTAGGTGAGAGAACCCTTTTCTGAACATGCTTTCACTGGGGTGATAAGAAGTGAAAAGATTGCTGTGGGCATGACTATTTTAGGTTGTCAGGCTCTGCGTGTTGCTATGAGATCTCAGATTAGCGGTTAGGTGGGGACAGGATGTCTTTCAACAGCTGATCAACAAAGCTTGAAAAATTATGTCTGTTTCTCAGAAACTGTGTCGGTGTGTGAAGAGAGTGCAAAAGGACTCTGTTTTTCTTCTAGGTGATCTTAATGGGGGTTAGTTACATCTTTTATCCTGTACCTATTTTTTTTAAACATCCCTGTGTTGAAATATGACAGTGTCTCCTTCTGTGCTCTCTGGAGTGTTACTGATTCAAGCGATGTTCATCCCAGTACGTTCATCATTTTTTAATTATACTAAAGCATCATTTTCATCTAAGTGCCATTCAGTGTTAATGAGGAACCGCAGAGCAATAATGTGTCAAAAGCAGGGGAGGCTATTTAATAAACTAACATGCCGAGGGGAGGTGGGACATGAGAATACCAGAAAGCAGGGCTCTGGTAGTGGGAGCCACTGCCCCAAGGAGCTTGTGAATTTGGAGCTTCTCATCTAGGTTAGCATCCAATAACCTGCACATGCAAATGTCAGATCAACATTCCCTGGAAACTCAACTGGGCACACTTTTCACTTTTCCCAGTTCTACCTAAGCTTCCCCCAAAAAAAGGCCCCCTAAAAGCAGTTTATGTGAACACTGGCTTCCTCCTTCTTCACCTCTCAAGTTCTTAAAATCAGATAAAACTGATTTCTTCCATGTTCTCTTTTATTGTCAGTTCCAGTCAGTTTTTCTTGGTCCTTGTATTTCTTTATCTGCATTTGCAAACAGAGGATCTGTGTTCAAATCCCAGCTACGCAAAAAAAAAAAAATCCCACATATGTGACCTTGAGTAAAGCACTGAATTTCTCTGTACCTCAGTTTCTTCATCTGCAAAATGAGGGATATTGGAAGGGACCTTAGAGGCCATTATATGCAATTGCATCATTCTGAAGATGAGGAAATAGACTCAGAGAATTGAAGTGATTTGCCATACAGCAAGTAAGGTGAAGGAGTCAGGATTTAAACTCAGATTTTCTGATTTCCTTCCAACTCCTTTGACTGCCTCTTCCCAGATACTCTCTCCTCCTTAGGTCTTTATGACATTACTCCTAACCTAGCTCTCTTCCTAGTTTTCTGATCTTCCTCATTCTATTTTTCAAGATCAATTAGATTACCTGTAATGTCCTTTCCAGCTTTAAGATTTCATGGAAGAATTAAAAAAAAAACTACCTGGTTTCTTTCAGTGTCTCTGTAATGTTCCCTGTCCTTCAGTGTCTTATTTCCAAAGTGTGACTATCAGAGGAAAATTAAGGAAACTCAAATAATGACAAGGGGGGAAAAGCATTTATTAAGCACTTATTACACAGCCAGAAACTGTGTTAAGTGCTAGAGATACAAAGAAATTTTTTTAAAAGAGCCTGCCCTCAAGGAGCTTTACATTCAAATGGGGGGGAAACATAAACACACATTGGAATATATGGGATTGTCTTACTGATTCTATGTCCACAGTATCTCTTACGTCTGTCCCATCCCTTGCTTTACCACCTTAATTCAGGCCCTCTTCATCTGCTGCCTGGACTTTTGAAACGGCCTCCTCATTGGGTCTCCTTGCCTCCAGCCTTTCCCCTTTCCTCTTCTCACAGCTGCCAAGTTGATATTCCTAAAGCAAAGGTCTGACCACGGCACCCTTCCTTTGTTTCTTGGGGTCACCATCTATATATGCCTCAGTTTTTTTCATCTCTAAAATGGGCAGTGTGCAGAGGAGGGGATAATAAGGGATGGATTAGATGTTCTCTAAGGTTCCTTACAACTCTAGATAATATTATACCTGCCCTGTCTACCTCAGAGGGTTATTACATGGATCTGGACTAAATATACTCTCCCAAGCTCTTAATATATGAGTTAATGGACTTATTAGATATGTGGCCCTGGGCAAGTCACTTAATCTCTCTCATCCTCAGTTTCCTCATCTGTAAAATGGACATGAAAATAACACCTACTTCTCAGGGTTGTTGTGAGGATCAAATAATACAGTATTTTCAAAGTGTTTTGCTAACCTTAAATACTAGCTATTAGAAGTAGTAGTATGAGTGTGAAGATGAAAATCCTATACAAACATTAAGGATTAAGGGCTCTCTGCATAGTGGATAGAACACCAAAGTCAGGAAGACCTGAGTTCAAATCTGGCCTCTGACACTTACTAGCTGTGTGATTTTGGGCAAGTCACTTAGCCCTCTTTGCCTCAGTTTCCTCATTTGTAAAATGAGCTGGAGAAGGAAATGACAAACCACTCCAGTGTCCCTGCCAAGAAAACCCCAAATAGGGTCACGAAAAGTGACTGAATAACAAAGGAGACCTATACACTTATAGATATACATATACATACACACATACACACATCTGTGTACAATATGTGTATACATATACACATAAATTTAAGGATATATTATATACACATATCTGTATGTACATACATATATGATTATGACACCTATGATTTATGCATTTTCTTCTCTCTAGGGAGGTTTAATTTTGTTGCTTTGCATGCTTATTAATTCCATACCTTACAAATTATCCTTCATCCTCTTCTGCCTACATCTCATCCACCATCCCCTGAATGCATATCTACCCCAAACTCACCACCCACGGGGAAGAAAAGGCAGAAGGAAGTCAGGCATGGAGATAATAATAGGGGGCCCATGCTTAGGGTGGGTTGGTTTGGGGTTTTGGGTTTTTTTCAGTTGTTGTTCCCAAAATGGGGATGGGGGTGAGGAAAAATCTTAGCAAACATCCCTAGCATTAATAGTTTCCTGCATGTGGAAACGACAGCCAGAACCAGAGACTAAAAATAAAGAGCCCAATTCTCCTGTATTGTGCTCTTGTCCCTCTTGGGTAATGGGACATTGGGATGGAGGGTGGGGGTGGCAGGATACATTTAGCCTCTGCCTTAGCTTGAGGAGCCATTGGACTCCCAATAAGTTACTAGCCTCCCTACGACTCATTTCAAAGAAACAATGACGAGTGGGCTTTGTGCAGGAGGAAGGTGATGATGACCTGACACCCACAGCCAGGTGAGGGGGATTCAGAGTTGCTGGGTTTTTTCCACCAGTAGAGATGTATTAGCATTGATCCATTCACTCTCTCTGGTTCCAATCGTTGTTCTGTATTGTGTAGAAAGATATTCATGGTTGTTCTTCTGGCGTGTCTGACTCTCTGTGACTCCATTTGGAGTTTTCTTGGCAAAGATCCTAGAATGGTTTACCATTTCCTTCTCCAGTTCATTTTGCAGATGAGGAAACTGAGGCAAGCAGAGTTAAGCGACTTGCCCAGGGTCTTACAGCTAGTTAGTGTCTGAGGCTGGATTTGAACTCATGAAGATGAATCTTCCTGATTTCAGGCGCAGCACCACCTAGCTGCCCCTGTCTATGGTTAGGAATATTATACTAATTATTAACTGGGCCTTCATTGATAAACAACAATCATTTTTTTTCTATGATTAGCCCTCTAGAATTTTCTTTTTTGCATTGACTGTTCCAAATCTTCTTTTCAAGTTCTACTATCTTTCAGAAGATGCCATTGTCTCTTTAATTAGAAAATCAAGGTCATGGGTCACCCCACATTACTTCGAATTTTATATTTACTTAACTGCATGTGTTATTTTCCCCAGTAGAACGTAAACCCCTTGAGGGTAGGGACTATTTTCATTTTATTATTTATTTATTATTTTATTATTTATTTATTTTTCTCTCTGCATTCCTGACATGGAGCATAGTGTTTTCATTGGTGTACTGGACTCCCAGATGAGGGAATTACCTCTACTAATTTGGGTCAGCCCCTTCTTTGCACTCTCATCTGAGAGACTCGCTTAGAGCATCATAAGGTTGTGACTTGCCCAAGGTCACACAGCCCATACATATCAGAAGTGGGTTTTGAACCTAGGTTTTCCTGATTTTGAGGCCTACTCTCTATTCACTACCCTCTGACTCTCTGTGCCTGGCACACAGCTGGCACTTAATAAATGTCAAATTTAATGAAATGGCATTGCACTGTGTTGAGTTGAATTAGATAGGAATACTGCCTAGACCATACGGACATAGAGCTTATGAGCTCTACTGTCCTTGCACACTTTTGGAGACCTTAGACCACTTCAGCGTATGTGTCTCCTCCATTATACTGGTAACTCCTTGACGGTCAAATATTGGTTTGTTTGGGGTTTTTTTTGTCTTTGTATCCCCATGACCCCACACAGGGCCTGGCACATAGTAGCTGCTTAATAAATCTTTCTGGATTGATTGGTTGATGTTATACCCACATTCCTTTGCCACTACAAGAAGACCATAACTCCTTAGGAACACTTTTCTGATCTTCTCTGCCAGGAGCAACCTTTCCTTAATGGCCTTAGACTTAGAACACATTGCTTATGTTTCTCTGATTCGTTTTATACTTCTTTTTTCTATGTGTCATATTCTAAAATCTTATTCTAAATTGTATTTAATTCTAAAATTCTAAAAATCATACTAAATTTTTCTATGGTTCATATTTTCCTTTGAGATAATAAACTTCATGAGGACAGGGGCCATGTTTTACCCAACTTTATATCTCCCCCCCCACACCCACCCGTTCTTGGAAGACCATGGTGGAGCAGAATGTGTAGACACGAGACATGAAAATATAGCCTAGTGTGTTATAGTATTAAGAGTTCTGGATTTGGAATGAGAAGCCCTGGGTTCAGGTCTTCTCCCACAACTACTACATTGTAGGAGCACAGACCTAGAACTGGAAAATACCTTAGAGGTCATTGAAATCAATCCCCTCATGTTGTAGTGAGGAAACTGAGTCTCATAAAGAAATGATGTGCCCAAGGTTATGCAGGAAGAAGCATAACCAGGATTTGAACCCAGATCCTAGGACTCCAAGTTCAATACTTTTATCACTATAGCATCCTGCTTCCACTCCATGACCATTGAGAAGTTACAACAGTGCATGATTTATATATTTATTTATATTTCTCTAAAGATATTTATAATTATATACTTTATAATTATAAGTTATTATCTAGCCAATTCATTGTTCAGATGAGGAAAGGGAAACTCAGAATTCTTATATATGACTTTCTTCTTCTTCTTCTTCTTTTTCTTCTTCTTCTTCTTCTTCTTCTTCTTCTTCTTCTTCTTCTTCTTCTTCTTTTTTTGATGGGGCAATTGGGGTTAAGTGACTTGGCCAGAGTCACCCAGCTAGTAAGAGTCAAGTGTCTGAGACTAGATTTGAATTCAAATCCTCCTGACTCCAGAGCCGGTGCTCTATCCACTGGGCCAACTAGCTTCCCCTATATATGTGAGTTTCTCAAGGTTAAACAATTGGGAATTGAGCTCAGTCTTCTGACCCCAAATCTTGTGGGGTGTTTTTTCCCTCCATTCTTTCCACATTAATCTCTCTATTAAATAGAGCGTGGCACATTGGATGACACTTTGGACCTGGAGTCAGGAAGACCTGGGTTCAAATCTGGCCTCTTGACATTTACTAGCTGTGGGTCCACAAATGATTTTCACTCCTATAAGGCTCAGTTTACTCACCTATAAAAAGAGGTTAATAATATGCATGGTTATTATGAGGCTTAAATCAGATAAGGTCCATGAAGAATTAGGCCAACTTTAAAGTGATATTTAAATATCCATTGGTAATTGTGTTGTTACTCATCTCTAAAATGGCATAATACTATCAGCCTCAGCATGCTGAAGAATGCACTCGATCCATGGGAACCGCCATGTTGTTTCCAAGCTTCACTTGTGCTCTGACTACAGCGACAGCATTGGCTCATACCAGCTTAATCACACCTTTAGCCATGATCATAGAGGCGGAGCTGGAGGGCATCCCAGAGGCCTTTTCATCTAACTCTTCCCATCTCCCCATTTTACAGATGTAGAAACCGAGGCATAGGAAAGTTAAATGCCTTACATCATAGGATTGCAAATTCAGAGATACAGGGGACCTGAGAGCAGTAGTGTCAAACTCAGAAGCCAAGACCACTAAACTGTACATAAGGATCTCTACAGGTTTCATACCGATTTAGTTTTAGGATGTAATATTATCTGTTTCAGTGTATTTTTATTTGTTTTGTTAAATATTTCCCAATTTCAATTTAACCTGGTTCAGGCCACATTCGGGTGTGTTGTGGATTTTATTTGGGCCTGCAGGCTGGTGTGTTTGACACCTCCACCTAAGAGAAAACTGAGGTCTAAGGAGGCTAAATCATTTATTTGTCTGAGGTCACCTGGGTAGTGAGCACAAGAATTGAACTCCTTCAGGTACTCAGTCCAAAGCTGGTGTTCTTTCCAATGAACTACATGGTTATTGATAAAATAAGTTTTATTAATGCTTTTTGTTATTACATCACAGTCAATTTTGGAAATAACCACTCTTCCCTCCCCCATTCCAGTCTGAATCTTCCATTGTTACTCAGTTGTTTCAGTCTTGTCTGACTCCTTGTGACCCCATTTTGGGTTTTCTTGAATGGTTTGCCCTTTCCTTCACCAGCCCATTTTCCATAAGATGAAATGGAGACAAGCAGGGTTAAGTGACTTGCCCAGGGTCACACAGCTAGGAAGAGTCTGAGGCCAGATTTGAACTCAGAAAGACTCGTCTTCCTGAATCCAGGCACAGTGCTCTAATTATCACAAATAATCAGCATTTACTGAGTCTAATAAGCCCAGGAAGGTGTCGCCTGAGGGATCGGGTGGGAGGGGGCTGAGTTTTTTTGAAGGGGAGCTCAAGGTCTCTACACTGGAAAGTATGAGAAGATGGGGCTGAGAAGGCAGAGAGTTTTTTGTTGCTCCCTAAGACCTAAGTCCCTCTGCTAGAATAAGGTCAGGTGAGTGAAAACAGATGGGAATGCTCAGGAGTTTATTGTGAACATGAGAGATTATTGCTGTTTTCCAAAGGCAATCCTAGTTTCATTTTCAAAAAAATGGAGTTCGACTGAAAATTACCGAGAATACACCAGAAGCCAGAAAGGAAGCAAATGACGCTTCCAGGAATTTTAAGTAGAAATGAGGTCATAGGAAACCACTTCTTTCCCATAGGCCTTTTCATTTTTCCTGGTCACCCAGACAGGAAAATTCCACCTTCTAGCAGTCTAGTGACTATATGCACCTGGGTTGTTTGCATGTAAATTTCAGTAGGTGAAGTCAGTCCAAACAGTTCCTCATCCTTGGAAACAGAGGCTGAGAGGGTCTACAGACCCATCCCTGGAAGCTGAAGCTGAGAGGGTCTATCAGGAGGGGGCTATTTTCCTCCTCCCTGGAAGCTCAGTAAGTGTTCTCAATGCCATAGCAAGTTTTTGTTATTGAGGCAACACCCTTGAGAACAGCTTCTGAGCCATTTAGGAAAATGCCAGATTGTAGAGATTATAGGATTCCTGGACTCCAAGTGTGCCTCACTTCTAACTCCGTTCTTCATTAAGAATTCCGTCTTCATTAAGGTATAGCAAACAATTTACCATGAATAGAATATTATTGTTGTTGTTTGTACTTCATTCTTGAAGAGGACCATGACATGAGGAAGATGGTGCCATGACTTGCAAGTGAGTTGGATTTAAGTGAGGCAGGGCTGTGCAAGGTCACCAGCCTCACTTTCTCCTAGGAAGTTATCTGAGTCCCGGGGCCAGATGTCGATCAGGACCACTGGACATTGCTCCTGGTGTGAAGGGAAGGCTAGGGGAGAAGGCACTCCTGATGATAAAGGGTCTTCCCACCATCTAGCCATTCCAGATAGATTTTAGGTGTCCAAGGGTCAGAGAAGAGATTGAGGAAGAGAAGAGAGAAAGGACATGAATGTAGGAAGTGGGTGTTTAACTTTTGAATCTGACACTATCTCTTTATCTCACTGGGCCCCTGTTTCTTCATCTGTGAAATAAAGGGTTGAACTAAATGATCTCTGAGTCCTTCTGAGCTCTAGAATGGTGACCCCATGACTCTATGAATGAGTGCTATATGTGAATCTGGGAAGACCTAAACTCCACTTCCCCCTCTGACACTGCCCACATGATCTTGGATAAGACACAGAACCTCTCAGCCTCAGTTTCCTCACCTGTGAAATGAAGAGAATGATGCCTGAAGTATCTCCCTCATGGACCTAGAGTGAAGCTCAAATAAGATAAAGTACCTACAGACTTAACTAGGATGGTGTCCTTGGTTGCATATTGACTTAGTTTCAAAATGCAATATTATTTATGTCTTACTGCATTTTTATTTATCTTGTTAAATATTTCCTAATTACATTTTCATCTTTGGGAGCATCATGGACCCCATACAGCAGATGATGACACCCCTCGATTAAATGACCTCTAAATTCCCATCTGTCTTTCAATCCTTTGATGTGATGATTTTCTCAACTGATCCTCAAAGCGTTCTTGGAGCCCTGTACTCCTCCAACATGGATATCATGCTTAATTTTGAAGTCGAGTTATTTGTGAACCTGCCTTATCTCCCCTACTAGATATGAAGCTCCTTGTGGGCAGGGTTCTATGTATGGACAGGGTGGTAAACTGTGTGTTTGCCTTTTCAGCATTACCCTAGCTAAGTTTGGAGAAGTTCATCATCCAGTTGCCTTCTGGCCGCTGGTTTTGTTTTATTTTGTTTGGCCAACACAAAGACTGTCCACATAGGTGCAGGAGATTGTGATCTGAATTGGCAAAGGTAGTACCCATACTAGGGAAATATCAGAGCCATGAGTGTTGGAGCAATGGGGAATAACACGGCTAATGTGCAACAATCAGGGGAAACCAGATCTCTAGTAGGAAACCTCTACCTCAAGAAGCTAACTTGTGAAATTCACCACTAAAGACCCGATCACTGAATGGAACAATGCCCTCACACTTCAGGTGGTATTTCCCTTTAAAGTGATCATTAGCCAGGTCAGTCCTCAGGCTAAAATCTCGGACAATAGGTGGCTAATGTATAACACTAACCCATTTGTAAATATTAACTATAGCATGATGTACTGGAAAGAGTTCTCTACCTCGGTTAGAACACTGGCACCAACCATTATGAGCTCTGTGACCCCAGGGCAGTTTCTTAACCTCTCTGGATGAAGTTTACCCATATGGAAAATAGGGATGATAATAATTGCATTTCCTTCTTCACGTGGTTGTTGTGAGAATGTCTTGTAAATGTTATTTACAAAGTTTTAAAGTTTATAAATCTATGTATTGATATTAATATTCTTATAATTATTCTCAATGACAACAAAAGGAATCATGGTGTAGTGGATAACCAACCAGCTTTGCTACCAAGAAGAGCTGGATTCAAGTCCAACTGATAGATCCTGGTCCTGTGACCTTCAAAGTACTTAACTCTACAGTGTCTAGGTAACTAATTCTATAAGTTGCAGAGAAGATGCCAAATCTGCATTTATAGAAGAGAATTTCCTTATCCTAAATCAAAGAAATCATATAACAAGTCAAGAAGTATTAATTAAGCACCTACTGTGTGCTAGGTGGGGCAGCTAGGTGGCCCAGTGGATAGAGTGCTGGACCTGGAGTAAAGAAAACTCATCTTTCTGAGCTCAAATCTGGCTTCAGACACTGACTAGCTGCATGACCCTGGGCAAGTCACTTAACTCTGCCTAAGTTTCCTCATCTGTAAAATGAGCTGGAGAAAGAAATAACCACTCCAGTATCTTTGCTAATAAAACTCCAAATGAGGTCAGAAAATGTGAGACAAAATAGAACAATAACAAAATACATTTGTATATACATACAAATATTGATAAGTATTTGTATATGCACATGCATATACATTTGTACACATGCATACATACATATATGTATGCATTCACATATACACGTGTACTGCATTTATATATACACATGGTGATAATTTATATCCCACATGCATACCCACATGTGAACATGTCTTTATATGTAATTACATATGTCTATGTACATAGACTTGTGTGTGTGTGTGTGTGTGTGTGTGTGTGTGTGTGTGTGTACATAGAGAGAGACAAGGACAGAGAGAGCGAGACAGACAGACAGAGGGAAGGCAGTGTTGCACAATGGATATAGAACCAGCCTCAAAATAAGAAAACTTGGGCTCAATTTCTGCCTGTAATACATACTGATTATTTGGTTTTAGGAAAGTCAATCTCTTAGTTTTCTAAGCAACTCTCTAAGACTGCACCTCTCAGAAGGTAACAACCTGAATCAGTAGAGGGAACTTTCTTACCCAGGAATTCCCTGTATCAGTGTGTAATTACAGGTCTCACTTCTATCCCATGTATAGACTGTTCCAAAAGTCTTAGTGCAGTTTTAAACTCTTAAAGCTTAAAATTGCAACAAGACTTGAAATACCATGTGTATTGTTATGTAGGTGTATGTGCATGTGCACACAAAGACATCTACATGTATGTATGTAATTTAAGCATTTTGTGTGTATATGTGTATATGCATTGTGTATATCTATACCTATCTTCTCCAAAATATAAAATTATGACATAAACGATCCATGTTTTTATTTGCCCATTTCACATTTTCCCAAAGTTAAAAGACTGTTTAGATGTTCTAGGCTGGAGCTGGTCACTTCTCTCAAGCGTATTTTCATTTCCATCCTTCTAACCCGAAATTCATTTCACCCTTGCTCTCACTGGTTGATCATCTGATTGCACCCCGACAGTTGATTTCTGAATGTCTGCTATGTTGGTAATTAGACCTTTCTTTTCTATTGAAATTTAGCCAACTTCACTTACTTTGACGTTGTCCAGTGCTCACCAGGTCCAGCCTCTTCAAAGTATTCAGGATGTAGCTGTTTGAGGAGTATATGCACAGCCTATGAGCCTTTCACCTTGTTTACTTCTTGATCCTGAAGTTTTATTTCCAACATAATTTTTGCTGGCTTCTCTGGGTCCAATTTTGCATTACAACGGCTGTATATCATATCAAATGTGCTCACTTAATTTGGAGGATCTTCTGAAGTTCTTCATGGACCTTCCCTATTTCTTCATTTTCTGCAAGAGATATTAATGCATAAGGAAAGGGAACAAGCATTTATTAAACACCTACTATGTGCCAGATACTATGTTAAGCAGTATACAGCTGTTATCCCATTTGATCCTCACAACTATGGGAGCTGGGTGCTATTAGTATGCTCATCTGATGAATGAGAAAACTGAGGCAAATGAAGGTTAAGTGACTTGCTCCCAGACATGCAGCTAATGTCTGAGGCTGGATTTGAACTCAGGTCTTCCTGATTGCAGGCATACTGCTCTGTTCACTGTGCCACCAGCTGCCTCAGAGTCAGTATTCTTTCAGCTGTACTCTGCCATATCCAAAAATATTCAACCCCCGATGGCCAGTCTAGCGTGGTGATGAGCCTTTCTCTAGTTATATTGGCTGGTACTCAGATAGAATTCATAATCTGTGTCCAAATCCATACTTGAAGTCTTCACCATCTGACAGAAGCTGTTGGTAATTGTATTATACTGTTCCTAGATGAAAACCCAAGGTCACCATTGCACCATGATGAACCACTGGAGCAGGACTTTGATTGTTCTCAAGATGATTCAACTCATTTCAAATGAAAACAATATTATAGAATATCTCTTGCTTGCCTAATTCCTTACTAACCCTGACAAGCAAAGGAAAGGAATAATTCTTAGCTGTTGTGTACTTTACAATCTATTTGAGGATATCATACTCATACATGAGTCAATTAGAGAACACAAGACAGAATAAAATGTTGTGGCCAAATGTTTAGTGCAAAGCATGAAACTCTCTGGGAGGTTAAGAGAGGAAGAAATGGTTATGGCCTGGACTGGTTGGGGAAGGTTTCATGGAGGAAGTGGAATTGAGAAGAATTTTGAAAGCTAAGTATGACTCAGATAGAGGAAAGTTGCTATAGAAAAAAAAAATAGAAATGATTGTAAGATAGGGACTGGAAAGGACCTTAGAGGTCAGCTAGGGCAACCTCATTTGCAGACAAGGAAACAGACATCATTGAGGGGCAAGTGATGTACCCACTTGTACACCAGAACTGGAGTCTGAAAACAATTTAAATAGAGGTGTACTCATAAAATTGAAAAAAACACTGAGCATCTTTGTGCTATCATAGCATGATGGATTTAGAGACAGATGGGACTTCAGGGGATATTCATTCTCCTCATTTTACAATGAGGAAACTTAGTTCCCAGTAAGTGAAGTGAGTTGTAGTAAGATGATCTGTGGTGACCAAAGTCATACAGACAGTAAATCATAGAGGCAGGATTCACTCCTAAAACTTCTTACCCAAACCCAATATCCTTTCCATTCTATAGTACTATTTCCGTATTATTTTTGGCTGGAGGAAAACTGGGTCTGTCTACGCTGCCCAGCCTGGAAGCATATCAGTCATTCATAGGTCAGGTGTTATGCTAATCGGCACTGAAGCTTTGACCTGCTCCATTTTTAATCTTCCTTCCTTAGACAACTTGGTTTTTTCCCACTCCTCTCTTCAGGTCTCCCCCACGCCATGGGCTTACTATCGTGGTGACAGACTCATTGTGGATAACTGTTTGGCTTTAGCCTTACTACAGCTCAGAATTCCCAAACTCGAGAGATCCAGTAGCCTCAGTTTCCCAGAAGCAGGTACTACAATTTCTGCTATACACATGTTCAAACTCCCCATTCATTTATAATGTATAGTTCTTTGGGATGGAGGAAAGTTGGGTCCCTACACAAATGTTAGATCTTTTCATTTTGGATTCTCCATCTAAAGCCTTTCTACACTACTGATTCTCACCAAGATATTGACTTAAAAGTACTGCTCTGTGAGATAAAGGAAGAAGTTAACTGGTGCACTTGAGCAAGGGCAATTTATTTCTGAAGTTGGAAATTAATTCCACACTGTGAAAGGCTGATCAAAACTTAAATTTCAAAATATTTGTTCTGCTTCTCCAAAATATATTGGATATCAAAGCATCCTCATTGGGGAAAGAAGCAAGATTCAAAATGGTGGTGGATTTGGTGTCAGAGGAACTGAATTTGAATCCTGACTGCCACTTACTAGCTGTGTGATTCTGATTGAGCAATTTAACTTTCCTGGGCCTCGGTTTCCTTCTCTGTGAAATGAGGGGAGTTGGATTAGATTGATTTCTAAGGCTCCTTTCAGGTATAGAATTATGAGCCTACGAACCTATTAGGCACCATGTTGGCCCAGATTTCTATTCTAGCAATCTTGAATATCCTTTGTAGTTCCATGCCAACAAATATGGATTTTTCTCTTTGAAGCCTAATAATGGATCTGGAAAAGTTTACCTTATAAGAGCATGTCTTTCCTTTTCCTTTTCTTTTTCCTTCTTCCCTTCACTTTCCCTTTCCTTCCCTTTCCCCTTCTCTTACCCTTCCCCATTCCCTTGTCTTTCCCTTCCTCTTACCTTTCCCTTCCCTTTACATTCTCCTTTTTTTCCTTTCCCCCCTTCTCCTTCCTTTTCCTTTCCCTTCCCCTTCCCCTTACATTCCCCTCTTCCCCCTACCCTTTCCTTTCCCCCCCCTTACATTCCCCTCTTACCTCTTCCACTTTCTCTTTCTTCCTTTTAAAGAAACTCTAAGGATGATATTCTCACACACAAAAAAGATACTTCGAAATGTTAAAATTCTTCCAGAACTTGGCATGAGATGAGGAGTTTGAGGACAGCCAGAAATACAATGAATATTTGTTCAGTTTCAATGAATACTTACCTTCCTCCCTCCCCCTAACCCCAGCTAGTTTCAGATCTTGCATTGGTCAACCCTACTCAAACTTTAGAACTGAAGATGCAAAAATGCTTTTGATTTTTTTTTGGTTGCCATTGAAAATTCTGAGGTCCTTGGGTAAGAGAAAAAAGGCCAATTCCAATTACTAGCCACATTCTAATATGTGTAATGAGGTTTACTGAGGTTTACTGAGCTAAGACTTCCTCCAGGATTCCAAATGACTCTATTACTGTTTTACTTTGGGTCATTAGATCACTGTCCCATCTCCAGAGATTACTGTGTATGGTATAGCTATGGTCTTTAAGAATGTAAGATCATATCTAAGGCAAAATAAAAGTTAATTTAGAGACCATAAGCCCTTCTCTTATGAAGGCTAATCAGTCCTTCATTTGATTTCACCATGATGTCTTGGTGTCTTCATGTCTATTAGCAAATGGCATTGTGATTGAATTTCCACTCACATTTCATAGAAAGGCCCCAGGCTCAATTAACACTGTCTTTTACTAATACTTATAACTAAGAGTAAAGCCATCATCACCCACAGGAGAGCAAAAGTCTTATCTTACCTCAGCTTTGTATTTTCTTCAGTATTAAGTACAATCCTCTGCACACAGCAGGCATCTAATAAATGTTTGTTGCATTGAATCAAACCCAAATTTATGAATTTTCTAACATGTATACCTCGGTATGGACATTAAAATGTTAGGCCTTTACAAATACTTTTTATGTAAGTTTTGTTTTATTTTATTTTAATTTTGGGCCAGATCTGTGATTTCATTCATTGTAAGAAAACATCCTTGACTGCTGCTGATGGTCAATCATCCTGCAACTTCTAGTCTTAATGAGCTGCCGAGGACATTGGGAAGATGAAGTGATCTGCCCAAGACCATGTAGCCAGTATGTGTCAAAGGTGGGCTTTGAACCCAGGCTTTCCTGACTCCAAAGCTGTCTGACCCTCTACCACAATATTACGTTGACTTTTCCTTTATACTTATAAAAAAAGCCCTCGTACAACTTTAAGTAAGCTTTCAATGTGGATGAGAGGCAGTTTGGTATAGTGTAGTAGCATCACAGTCTGCGAGACCTGTGTTCGAGTTCTAGTATATGCTGGAGGTGGGCAAATCATTTAACCTTTTGATGTCCCTGGGAACTCTCCAATATTGTAAGTTGCAAAGAGGTTGCTGATCTGTGTCGTGGAATGGAGTCCTTATCCCAATGAAATAACAGATCTAGTCTCCCCTCTCCCTCTACCTTCCCTCCAAAAGAAATTAGGGCATAAAATTGAGTAAAGTAAATTGGAAACAATAGGGCATAAAACATCTCTACTCTGCCCCATTAGTTAGGTTTCAGCAATAGCACATGTTCTTCTTCCACCTCCGTGTGAAACACTAAATCTGATTTGCAAACTTAACAACATTATGCCATTGCAAACTTATTTCCCAAGTGGTGTCAGAGACTTGCCCCAGACTTCCTCCCTAAAATCTTGTGCAAGCATGGATAGTTTCAACAAGACCCCATTAAAAAAAACTCTCCGAAGACAGTAATGTGAAGACCACCAGAGACACAGAGACTTTCCAGTCCCCACATAGACCAGGGGAAAAAATTAAGATCTCTGCTGCAGGGAGAAAAAGTTGTGATCCCACCAATTATTGCTTCAACTGAAGTGAATGAAAATATCTCTGACCCCTCCATCACACCTCTTGTTTCTCATCATGGAAAAAGGTGGCAAATTATAATAGGAATTTTACTTGTCAAGTTGCCCTGCTACCAAAGGAGCCTATCAGGGGCCTGCAAGCATTTTCTCTCAGATAGCTCCAGGTGGTGACATTCTTAGAAGGAAAGAGCTGTTAACAATGAATCTTAACAATTCAGCCAACTTGTGATCCTTCCCTCCTGGTAGGAGGAAAGGAAAGGTATGAGCCTGAATTGGAAAAATTACCTTCAGTGGGAACGACACCAAAACATGTGAACACACAAATAAGACCCCAGCTCAGGGGCATTATGGAATCCTATGTCTAGATCTGGAAGGGACCTCAGGCTCCATTAGGATATATCCCTAGTCTAATGAAATAAGGTCAATTCAGCACATACTGTGTGCCTATCATTTTGCTGCTGAGGAGACTGAGGCCCAGAGAGATTAGGCACAGGATTTGAACTCAGATCCTTTGATCCCAAATCCAGAACCATTTGTCCCTTTATCAAGTTACCTCCAACATGTTGTTGTTCAGTTGTGTCCAACTCCTTGGGCCCCCATTTGAGGTTGGCAGAGATACTAGAGTGGTTTACCATTTCCTTCTCGAGCTCATTTTATAGACAAGGAGCTGAGGCAGACAGAGTTAGGTGACTTGGCCAGGGTCACAGAGCTCGTAAGGGTCTGAGGCCAATGTTGACCTCAGGAAGATGAGTCTTTCTTAGGCTCAGCGCTCTATACACTGAACCCCATAGCTGCCTCAGAATGATAGATATATGTAAAACAACCAAGTTAATGTATGTAAAAATACTTTGTCAACCATTGTAAGAGTATATTTGTGGTCCAGGACTGAGTCAGCCTGTTCTGGCAGTTTTGGATTAAGATTGGAACAATCTCATAGACCAGGGGTATCAATCACTGTAACACTCCCCAGTGCTCCAGGAAGGTATTAAAGGCTCCTGAATCCCCAATAGCTAGGACCCTCTTTCTTTAACTACTTTCTATTTTCATCATTATCATCACCATGAAAATAGTAACTAGCATTTATATAATGCCTATTATAAGTCAGACACTGTGCTTAAAATTAAAATATAATTAGGAAATGTTTAACAAAATAAATGGAATAGAATATGAATAATATGTCGTTTTTAAGGGCAGCTAGGTGATGCAGTGGATAGAGTGCTAGGCTTGGAATCAGAAAGCTCACTTTCATGAGTTCAAATCCAGCCCCAGACACTTACTAGCTGTATGACCCTGGCAAGTTAATTAACCCTGTTTGCCTCAGTTTCTTCATCTGTCAAATGAGCTGGAGAAGGAAATGGCAAACCATTCCAGTAGCTTTGCTGAGAAAACCCCAAATGGAGTCACAAAGAGTTGGACCCAAGTGAAAAATAACAGTAACAAAGTTTTTAAGTCAATATACGGCCATAGGGAATACTTCTATTTAGTTTACTGGTCTCCATTTCTCCTTGAGTTTGATACCACTGGTGTAGACCACCCAGTACATAAAAAAAGCATGGAAATCAGGCTCAGCAAGGATACTCCTCTGCTTCATACAGAAGCCCATCTTGTCAAAAGGATGTGTTGGGTCAAATGAGGGTGGTTACTTGCTGGCAGTGGGGTATGCCTCAGGTCTGAGAAGCACTTATTCCTCTTGGGCTGGGCCTTTTACACCCTAGCCAATCAGAAACCTTGTTAACAGCTTGAACCTTAGTTCCCTGGATCACTCAAGACACAGGATAGCTTTTCTAGCTTTTAAGGAAAGCTGGCCCCAGTCTATATAGCAATGACTTACTAGTGCTACTTCTACTTCAAGACAGCGAGGTAGTGCCATAGTGCACAGAGCACCAGGCCTAGAGTCAGGAAAACTCATCTTCCTGAGTTCAAATCTGACCTTAGTCATGTGTTGCCTTGTGACCCTGATCAAGTCACTTAACCCTGTTTGCCTCAGTCTTCTCATTTGTAAAATGAGCTGGAGAAGGAAACGGCAAACCTCTCTAGTATCTTTGCCAAGAAAACCCCAAATGGGGTCGTGAAGAGTCAGACATGACTGAACAATAAGGAAAGCGCCTAGCACAACCTCTATCTAAAGGTTAGCTATTGTTATCAGTAAAATTTGATGCCCAGTTCCTGCCCTAATATAATACTGAAAAAAAGTTCTGACCTCTCTTTGCCTTGTTTCTATACTTATCAAGTTGCTTCA